TGTAAAGACCATTGATGACTTCACAAAGGTACTGTCCTACAGAGCTTGAGTGGGCTTTACAAACTTAAAGAGATTCTGGACAACTCATACGGGAAACACAGGTGTACTGCTGTCACCTATCACCACACCAAGAAGGCTGCTGAGCGTATTATCACCAAAGAGCACCTCCAGCTAATAACAGTTGAAAGTCTCTGCCAATAATCATAGAAACATAGAATGGTTTGGGTTGGAAGGAACCTTAAAGATCATCTAGCTCCAACCCCCCTGCCACGGGCACGGACACCTTCCACTAGACCAGGTTGCTCAAAGCCCCATCCAGCCTGGCCTTGGACACTTCCAGGGATGGGGCAGCCACAACTGATGGCTGAAACACATTACACATGGTGTAACGGGCATGAAAAAGCAACTTGGGTTTTTTTTTTCACATCAAATTGCATCAGACCAAGCATTCTAGAAGGAACACAAGAAATATAGTCTATTTGTACTGCTTTGTCACCTGCCTTTCTTCAATCTGCCATCCTGTTGCTTCTTTCTTCAATGGGAAGAGCCTGATGACCCAGCCCAGACAACAGAAGTAGACCGAAGTGTGGCTTTCTTAGCTAATGGGTTCAGTCATTTTTAAGCTGTGGTTCTGGGATTCACCAGTTACTTTTTGCAGATTCTCAGAAGAGGACCTGGAAAAGCAGGTTCGTACACACTATGAAACAATCATTTTCAGCATCATAATCTATGTCTGCTATCACTTTTGGTTTCCTTATGCTCAGCAGCTTTTCTTCTAAATCTTGTTTCCTTTTTTAAAGTATTTTCTCCTAACAGTGGTGGCTACATATCTTCTGTCGTTACCTTGAGTCTACACAACTCAGACTCTCATCAGGTCTGTGGTTTCCTCAAGATGTAGTTCAGCTGAAGAGAAAATCAGAAACAGCAGAAAGACACTTACTGCACTTTGGGTGTAGATATGAACATTTCCATATACAACTACGTCGCATTCAAGCAAGTATGGCTGTGTTTATATCTAAGTTGTTTTCTCAGAACCTTTTAGAGACACTAAGTGGGCACTCCACTGCAGAGCTAGGCAGATGTTTCCAACAACTGTAAATTTGAGTAAAAAAATAAAAAAATGTTTTGATTACAGAAATGTGTCCAAAGGAGAAGTGAGGAAAGTGCTAAAAGCGAGGTTGAGGGAATTCCTTATGAAGACCACATGGAAGCAGAGCACAAGAAGAGTCTGCAGTAGATGCGCAGCACATGCGCAGCACTTCAGCTAAGTAGTTTAAACGTGTCATTGGAAAATGCAATGTTCATTACCAACAAAAGACAACTGTAAATAATTTGTTGCTTCAGCTGTTAAGGCTTTGGTTTTTTTTCTGGTTCTGCCCTTTGAATTCCCCTATCCCCTCCCACATACTGCTATTTTTATATATAGCCTACACTACCAGATGTCACTTCGTGACACCAATACACCATCACCCTTTTCTGATGAGGTTTTCGCTACTTCTAATCTTTAGGTTATATCTAAGGTTTCTGGCACTAGGAAAGTTAGGAAGGAGAGAAAGAGGTGTTACAAAAACAAAGTCTGAACTAAGACTCCATAAACATAAACAGTATTTCCACCATGTTTTTAGTTTATATGAAAAACTAAGCCAAATAAGCTAAGTGAAACTAAGCGATATATGCTGACCTCTCTCTCTCAAAGAAAAAAGGTAAGTAGAGATAAATAAAAAATACAATTATTAAATAAGATACCGTTACCCTAGTATGGGACAGGATTTTTTATGTTTTTAGCAACAGAAAACGTATCATTTGAAAGACTGATAGGGTTTGTGAAAGGTGGAAAAGGTGATTTGACTTTTTTCTTCTTTTTGCACTTTATCACGTGACTCCAGTGTTCTCGGTCCCAAAGAACAGTGTATGTCAGAATTATATATATCACTGACAAAAAAAATGAAGTATTATACATCATTGACAAAAAATGAAATATTACAAAAAAAACATGTCTGCAGATGGAAAGAGGAATTAGGGAAACATCTCTGGCTGCAGAGGGATGCATGAATAAAAACCCTTACAAGATGCTTTTTTCAAATATTTATGCAATTACCAATGCAGAAATGACCAAACGAATGGCTCACTGGGTCACCATATAAAAACAATTCATTAAGACAATGATGCTTGAAGGGACAGGTTTATTACATCTCCTACACCTTTTCGTTTCTGAGCCGGTGATCAAAGCAATAATGAAAACCTTAATCCAGAAAACATTTACAGCAAGTTTAGTTTCAGGTTCTGAAATGAAAAACACAATGTATTTGTGCTGTTAATTAAAATACTGTTTGGTTCTCTTCCCTTCTCACACCCCAGGTGATTCTCTAATCTTGCAATGGCATTTTCCATACAGTAATGCTTAAAAAACTCCACTAAACACAACATAATCCTAAATAATATTTCATTTTTAGTTACATGGTATAGAATACCTTGCAAACAAAAGACACTCATTAAGATTTACTGACAGGTACTGCATTTTTGGCAACCCTGGAACAAACCAGAAGATAAAGCAAGGAACTATTCTAAAACCATGAGGGAAAGAAACATCCATCTAAATGTAAAGGATTCACAAAGCAAAATTTAAACTAAAGAAAAAATCCACACTTACAGTAGATTTTTTTTTTTTTAATTCTTAGTGCAAGAAACATAACCAAGTTAATCACAGAATCAGTACTAATTAAGAATATGGAAAATTCTCCTATACAGAGGTAGAGTCCAGTGCACAAGGCTAAAACGATATTCAAGAGTCTAAACAAGACTGAGCCAGGTTTTACGGAATCCACTTTTTAAAGTATCAGACTGTATGTACATACATACAATAAATAGACTATACAATCTTTAAAGTAGTTTAATAAACTTCACAAAAATTAGAGTAGATGCATTGAGATCTTTACATAATCCAAAGTTCGTATCTCTATCACGCAGAAATGGATAAACCCAATGTTCCTGATATCAAGTTAAATGGGAAATAGTTTAGCAAAGTGTCGATAAATCAAAATATTTTACATATTTTAAAGCCTAAATTTATGCTTATAAAGGATGAATTTCAAATGCTCTGAAAATGTTCCTTTTGATACTATCTGTAAAGAGGTTTCAAATGATGTAATTTGCATTTGTATTCCTATAAACACTTTCTTTACATTCCATGTTCAAGGGAAAAATGGATTTGGATACTCACAGTTCTGATGTATTGGCACAACAAGAAGTGATGAGAATTAGATTATTTTAAAGGCCCAAAGGAGATGAGGAGAATTTATGGACAAAACCTTCATGTCTCAAACTACACAAATCACATTAGAAAGTTAACAGAAAACTGTTTGGTATTACTACTTCAATCCTGTCAGTGCCTCTCCGCCCGCAGGCATCCAATTAGCATTGCACTGGAAGTCAAGTGCACATCTCTGGGCCCCTCGGTTTGCTACAAGCCCATAGGGCTTAATAAAACAAATACGGAATCTTTATGGTTTACCACAGTAGTGCATAAATCAGGGACGTCTGTTGCCATTCATTTCAGTGATAATTGCAAAGAAAGGATTTGAGGGAACTGAGAGTTTTCAGCTATATCTTTCTAAACTGTGAAAAAAAAAAAGGGGGGGGGGGAGGGGAGAAATCACCCTGGGGCGTTATAAAGCAAATATGCTTATACTGACAAGTTATTTTCTATAAAAGGTTCTTACAATTCCAAGGGGACAACAGCTACAGTAAGAGGGAACGAGTAACAACAACAGAAGAGCTTAATAACTTGAGTTGAAAATTATTTTCACGGTTTGGTTACTTTTAATTTCTATAAGCACCTACGCTGAAAAACATGAGGGTTTGTATTTTAGCTTCAAAATCAAATCTGCTTGTGACAAATACCTTGTTAAGATTTCCATTCTGCTCTTCCACAGGCCTTCTCACTCGAACAATTTTTTTTATTATTTTTTATTTTATACAAACAGACTTACTTTGATTTAAAGTAAACATATAAAAATTGAGAATATTGCTTGCAACAATGGACCTGGAGGTGAAGGAATGAACTAGTCAGGCCATACAAAAAAAAAAAAAATCTCCCTCAAAATGAATTCTGCTAAACTTCCTAATGCTATGAAAATCTGCAAAAACGATCACAAGATCTGTTGCAAATTTCAGAGATTTGGCCCAAATCTTATCATCATCATCTGAATACTTTAATAACCGTATCTTTATATTAAGGAAAAATAAACGATTCCAAGAACTCAGGAAGGCACACGCACCCAAGTATACTATAAATAAAACACATCATGAAATTATGAAGATCTTCTGATCCCTGTACACACATTTGGTTCAGCACTATGGTCAAGTTCTCTCTTTTGAAATACAATAAAAGGCATACAAGAAATATAACATATGCATAATAGTTATGAAGAATAATGCTAATAAGACAGCTTACAGAGAAAAGTGCAATGGAAAAACCCAACGCTATTTATTCAGGGGCTTGTGCTACTGTAAATACAGACTTCGTATTTGCTGCTGTGCAAGGGGAAGAATTTATCCTGGGAAGCAGCAATAAGGAACGCAAAAAACAACAGAAAATAAAAAACATAGTAAGAGAAACCTTTAGGATGGAACTCTCCCAACATCGTTCCTCTAGTGCACAGTCATCTGACTACATGGTTTGTTTTCATGCTGCCATTTCTCTTCATGAGCACAGCATATTAGAAAATGGCACAGTTCTTAAAGACTTTTCTGCCTCTACTTCATTTTTTTTTGTTTCTTCTTCCAAGCACCTGATTTGCTGTTTCCTCATAAAAAGGGTAAAGCTGTTAGCGAAAGTGAGAAAAAAATTGTTGCCCATGTTCTCTCCCGAACACCGATTTCTCCATTTCTCCTTCCACTAGGTATTTTACTCATGTGCTACACAATGGGGAGGCACTGTAAAGGCAGCTTGACAGATTTAAAAATAAAAAAATGAAAAGTCTTTTTTCTTTATCCCCCGCCCCCAGCCCACCCCCCAAAAATGGATGGATGAAACAGTACGTCCGTAGGAATATTCCAGTCTCCTCTGTTAGGAGATAATAGCAGGGGACCATCTAACCACAGTCAGATTGTCAGCACTGACTGACCGTTTCTTTGCTGCTTTCCTGAAGTCCTTATATTTATCTTCACACAAGCGGGAAATGGCCTGCAAGACAAAAGAATGAAAAAATTTCAGTTGCATTGACCACAGCTGTACAGGTAAAATAAAACTAAACGCAGAATTCTACCTATAGGTAGAACTGCAAAATGTCACTTCATTAAGCAAAACACGTGAAGAGCTTCTCCCCAAATCCTCTTACTCGTTTCATTGACCTTAAAAGAAAGAAACACACTGCCATTGCATTGCCCACCGCAGCCGCTCCTGAAGGAGTCAGCGAGCGTATTCCAAGCCTTTTCTTTTTGGGTTAACCACCACAAATCTCACCGAGGTAGCTGACAATGCTTATCCACTGCTATATGGTAACTCATACATAGCACTGCATTGGTGAAAAATTGTGAAAAACTTAATAAAACAATTATAGAAATTGTAAGTATGCTTGTAGAATTTATAAAGAGGACAGCTCTTAATTTTTTTATTTCCTAAAAAAGTCTTGTAGTACTTATATTTTTTTCCCCACTGATAAATGGTCTGGCAGAATACTCGCCATGCTTTGCTTACAGACCTGATGTTTACTTGCCTTTCGGAAGGAGACAGTGATTTCTATGTGATCAGGCTATCTTATATGGTGCCAGTGAGAAACATAACTCATATTCAATGAATTTAATTTGCATTAAAATACATAGAAATGTTAAAAACTTTTTGAAGACAGAGAGAAACATTATTCAAATGTTAACTCCTATTATACTGCATGGCAGTTTACGTTTTATGTTTCTTCTACTGTTTTTAGCCAAGTTTAAACCAAATTTTTATCATGGACCTCATATGCACAAATATACTGTGCCCTAAAATAGCGTGACTATTAGAGTTCACACAGGTGGGACAGGCAATGGTTGGCATCAGTAGGGATGTTAACTCTGGCAATCAAACACACACAACTGCAGAGAAAGCTCACTGCAAGGAGTACTCAAGGTCAAATTAAAAAATACAATGAACTAAACCAGTATTTTTATTTACTCAGGAATGCTTTTAAGTGGTGTCTTAAGATAGGATGTTTAATAAAAAGTATTATACAAACAAAACCAGTACAAGTGTTTGATTATAAAACAAGGCAATACAAATAAACAGCCCGACTCCACTGATCTTTACTTCCATAGCACAGCAAGTTGTAGCAGTGAAGAGCCCTTTAATTTTAATCGTCCTGCGAAGACCAGAGGCAGGTATGACAGAAGCACAGAACTCGGGCATCTGACAGCAAGTTCACCTAATGCTTTGGTCAAGCCAGCCACAAAACATGGTTAAACTTAAAAAAAACCACAACAAAAACAAACCAAAACAACTCAAACCCCACCTCCACCAACAAGAAACCAGTTGCTACTTTTTAGTTGGAAAATGAATTTCCTTTTGTTAAGACCATTTCTGAATACAGTTTCTTTCTTGGTGCACATGAAGTGAGCAACAGAATAATATAAAGCAAATATCCCCATTGCTTTGCAGACCATAACATAACTCACTTAAAACTGCTTAATAACACTTTATTTAATTTAACCAGGAACTCAATGGACTAAGAAAGTTTATGCGATTCAATTGGATTTAAAATCCAATAGACGAAAGGCATTTAATCATGAAATAACGTGCCAAGGCATGGCTTGGCAAATAGGTGTACTGAGGTGGAGCTCAGCTTCTTTCAGCTGCCAAATCAGGCTATTAGCTTAGGCATCAAACAGCCAGAAAAGGTAATCACTTCAAAATTGCCTGTTTCACAGGAAAATTTCTGTTCTGGCACATGGTCAGACAAAGTGAAATTTTGCTTGGAAGTGGGACTTAATATTTGGCATGTCTAGTCTCTGGTGATTAATCATATGGATAAGAAACACATTGACTGCTGTTTAAGGCAATCCTGTATCTAAAGATGCCTCTTCATTTGCAAATAATTTATAAAATTGGTATTTGGCAAGTTAGTCAACTTCAGCATAACACATGGGGAAACAAGACAAAAAGCAAAAAATTGTAAATATTTATTATTGTCCTTCAGTTAAAATAAACCCAAATAGCTTATAAACACCTTTCTGTCATCTGTTATTTCTGTTGCTTTTATTGCGAGGAAAATGAACCAGTTTTTGACAGTTGCAAGGGACCACTTCTCGCATGAAATCAAAACGTTCTTAAAAACAGAATCATGTGACATTTTGTTGGACTGACTGTAACATCTGTAATCAGCTAGAAAAATGCATATATATATAGTCTTCCATTATATATGTATGTATACAGGAGTCAGTTCCTCTGCTGAGTTACATGACTCCAGACGAGACTTTGTCACTGGTGAAAGGGACAGGTAAGGAGACAGGAGGGGGGAGAAAGGCAGTACTTATATTAGTAGTGTAAATGTTGGCTGCATGCACATGTTCGTGCAGGGCAGGAAAGCAGCGGGGCTGGCTATGGCCTCACTGCTGGGCACGCACACAGGCACACAACTGTGGGTGCTGCAGCACCCCTGAAAAGGGACAAACCAGGGAGAACTTAGCAGGGACAGACAAGACTAAGTCAGGAAGGGCTATATGGAAGGAAAAAGTAAAAAAGTAAAAAAAAAATATAAAAAAATAAAATCACTAGAACAACCAGAAGCTGTGATGATGGGTGTTCTCCTTATCTTACGGAGAATAAAAAGAAGAGCATTCGCGTTACTCCTGACAAAAGAGCAGGGGAGTTTTGCTCTCCCTTCGCTTCTTCGCTAAGAGGGTTCTGAACGTACAAAACACGCAGGACTGCAATCAATCACTGCGACAGTGGGAAGCCAGAGGGATATAAAGACACTTCTGTACTTGTAACTTACATTATTTTCCTCCTCTTTTTTGTCTGTTTGATCTGTGGGACTGTACCTCTTTAGGGTCAAGAAAATACAGCACTTAGTTCAAAGGGTTTGAACTATGTGCTCAAGCACTATCCTAACAATAAAAAGCTCAGACAACACACAGTCAGTTAAACTGGGAGTGCGCTAACAAATGCTCTTACAAAATCTAGCCCTGAAATGAGCACAGTGCTAAGATCACAAGCAGAAATAGGGTAGGCACATTTTGTGGACTTACCCCAAAGAGCAGAATCTGACTCGTATTTAGCTCAGCACACAGGAGAATAACCAGGTGCAAGAGTAGGAAATTACAAAATACTGGATTAAGGTTGGATATCCAACAACCTTCCTGGCAGAAAAATCTCCCATATTAGAAAACAGTTCTCAGGAGAAGCAAAGGAAGCCTTGACATTTGACATAATTAAAAGGAAGGAGAAAACACACTACAACATATGCTGGTTGGAACAAACAGCATTGGCAGGTGGACAGACTGGATGATCTAATGAAAGGTTATTTGCCATTTTTAACTTGCATGATTCCATACAATGGGGGGGGG